TATCAAGTTACTGATCTTTAGTTTATGTCCCTACTCCAGGTTAAAGGAAGGTCTTAGTTGCTTTCTCCCAGCAGTCATACTGAGTTTTGTGCTAGAAGCCAGAGAAGTCCAAAGCACTCGTTTTGTGTATGAATCATGGCCACAAAATGCTTGAGAATTGTTCCTAGGGAATCTTAACTGATCCTGCTGTTTCTTCTTAGGACGGACTTAGGTTCTTTGTTTTTCTCTTTAATACCTGCATGACTTTGGGCAGGCTTCCGTTTCTTCATTAGTAAAATTAGACTAATGCTGTCTCCCTGATAGTATTGTTGTGAGGGTCACAGTAAACGTAATAGTGGACAAGGCACCTCGCACAGGGCCTTGTGTAGAATAAGTACACAGTGGATGTTAGTTTCCTTCCTCCTTCCCACTGCTACCACCCCAACTCCCCATCACAGCCACCTGCCCACAACTGAAGTCATTCACAACATCACAAAACCTACACACCAGAGGAAGGAACCCTTACCTCACAAAGATGACAGTCAAATCGTTTGGCTCATAAAGATTTTGTAAATATTTTCACACTTGTTTTTATTAGTGCAGGAGTAGGCAGACGTTTTCTATAAGAGTGCCAAACAGTATTTTAAGCCTTTTGAGCCATATGGTTTCTGTGGCAACTGCTCAACCCTGATGTAAGCACAAAAGCAGCGACAGATAATATGTAAATGAATGAGCATGGCTATGTCCCGATAAAACATTATTTTCAAAATCAGGCAGCTGGCTGGACTTGGTCTGCAGACCACAGTTTGCTGATCCCTGTGTTGGAAGGTTACTGTTACTATTAAAAATAGCTACTTTAGTCCTGGCTGGTGTGGCTCAGTGGATTCAGTGCCCGCCTGCAAACTGAAAGATCACCAGTCCCTGGCTGGGGGCACACAAGAGGCATCTGATCGATGTTTCTCTCCCTCTCTTCCTCCCTCCCTTCCCCTCTCTCTAAAAATAAATAAATTTTAAAAAAATAGCTACTTTAAGTCACACAGAGAATGTCCTTAGCCTAAAGAGATGTACAATGAAGAATTTATAGGTAGGTGTCATGATATCTGCAACTTATTTTCAAATTGCTAAAATAAATGTAGATGACAGGTAGGTAGGTAGGTAAGTAGAGCAAATGCAGCAAAGGGCTAACAGTTGTTAAATCTTAATACTAAAAAGTTGGGAAACATATATGCTTTGAGAAAGGGCTTTGCCATGCAGACATTATTTTTTTCTGGATACTAGTCTGGAGCATTTCAGAGTGGTCTTAAAAGACTACAGACAGGTAAAGGTGATAGGACAGAATTAACATGAGGCTCTCCTTTAGCTTTCCTTCACCAAAATCACTGCTCCAAGTTTCTGAAAACTGCTTTTATTCTGCTGGTTTTTACTTGCTATGGGCCTTAAAAGTGACAAGCTGCCTTCCCTGTTAGAGCAAATACAAGTTCATCTGATACTCATTAACCCATCCCCTTATTGTTAAGCAGTTAAAACTATCATGTTCTTTACTTATTCAGTGTCCAGATTACAAAGTAGCACATTAGTAATTTGGAACTCTATTTGTCTAACTCACAGCCTTCGCATTCTTAAATCACCCCTGGCATTAAGTATGTGCACGAAGATGGTGGGATGAGGGAGGGACCGTGAATCCCAGTGAAAAGACCCTGTAAGCCCAGGGAAGGTTAGTGGCCTTTCAGGTGACTACACACACACTCCCCTCTACAAGAATTCTCAGCCTCTGAAACACAGGTGGGAAGGGATGTTACTCACTCATGTCCACCCTTTCTGCCTCCACAAAAACACAGAATCCAAAATAGTTCTTCTATACTCTTTTTGTTCAGACTGAAAATGCTCTAGAGTGCACCAGATTAAAAATAAGCCAGAGAAACACTTTTTCCTGTTTTTCAAAGCCACTTTTCCATGAAAGGAAATATGTTTTTTATACTCTTGGATACAAACAACTCAGGGTACTTTATTCACCATTTTACTGTGGAGGAGAACTTATCACTGACACTTCTGGAAAGTCGAGTGGTGTCTGTGAACTTTGGTGTTTTGGTTATTCTTCTATTTCTTATAGTGAGTTTTTGAATTTTAGTATACATAGGGATCTTATGTTCCTAAGTGTCCACAAAAGTATGAAAATTTACATATTTTTAACATTTTTAAATTTTAATTGTTCAAATACAACATACATATTATTTTCAATAATTTGAAAAGTCTGCAATGTACTCTTATTGTTAATAAAGCTGTAATTGCGCAGGCTAAGATATCAATGTGTTTTGCTTTTAACCAGAGGTAATCAACTTAATACTATTTGACACTGCATGTCCTGCTGATCTGAAAATGTCACTGACTTCTTAATGGGGAAATAGATAACAAATGCAAAATTGTGGCAACAATGACACATAGGTATGTCAAAGAAAAATGATAAAAGGAGTCCTTGGAGGTGAAAAGATGTATAAGCCACTGCCTTCTAGATATAACACATTGAGGTCTACTGGTCTTTAGAATCACAGTATCAGTTACGATCAGGTGTTACCAAGAGTAAAGGAATAGACAGGACAGGCAACTGCTGAGAATGAGAGTGGGCAGGAAGAGAGGAGGAAGGGTTAGCACTGTATATTGTAGTCTGGATACTTTTGTAAGCAACAGAAACAAACTAGCTCAATTAAGCAGAAAAGGAATTTACTTTGTCGTTCACCAAATGAACAAGAAGCCAGGAGAGCAAGACACAGATCTGCAAATACTGGTCACAGAGGAAGCTGAGCCATTCATTAGTCACTGGTTCAGAGAACACTGCAAACCACAGGGCAGCACCCCACCCTTCAAAGGTGTTTGACATGGCCTGTGCCATAACAGTGCTTAATGTGCCTGTCCGGCATTTTATGGGTGTAGCTTCTCCTGGATGATGAGGTGTATGGAAAGACCGGTAAATCACATAGGAATGAACCCATTCCTTGTTTCATGGTGAGTTCTTTGATAAAGTACAATGTGAATGTAATGTCTTGATAGGTGTGTGGTGTCTTGAAGATACACACCATCCACTAAGGGATGGTGCTAGCAGAGGCATAATGGGCAGGAAAAGTAAGTCTAATCTAATGTCTATCACAGTAGACACTGTCTACTGTCCCCAAAGAGGTCCAATCCATCTTCCATGAAGTGGCTGATAGGTCCTCTCAAAGAAAGGAAACCGTTCAGAAGCTTACACTTTGTTACTCTCACTGCTGCTGCTGCTGCTGGCCAATAGGGTGCTCTGCCCAGTTTGGTAAGTGGGGGACACGGTGTTGAGCCCACACCTGACTGCTATGCCCGTTCCTGCTGCCATGTTATTCCAAGCCCATAGAGCAAAAGCTGAAGTAGTACATGAGAAACACTTCCTAACACCCACAGGACACCGGATTATTATTCACCTGGTTCTCAAATGCTCCCTCTGAAGAAAATGGAAGGCCATAGCTTGGCTGATAATTATATCTGAAGAAAAGTAAGATAGCCCAGGCAAGTTCTAAAAAGTAATTGATAACTTATGTGTAATGTTATGAAGGGCCCTTCCTCAAAAATCTCCAGTCTCATCTTTATTTGAAGGGATCTCTGAACTAATTGCTAGGTAGCCAAGGCTTTGCCAGGCCTGCAGTGCAGGAGGGAGAGGAAGAGGAAGAGGAAGAAAGAGACAGGAGAGAGCAGATCAGGAGGGAAAGAGAAGGGAAAGGAAGAAAAGGAGGGTGGGAAGAAGAGGAGAGACCTGTGAATGTGGCAAAGACCGTGGCTTTGTTTGTATCCCATGACCCTTATAGGGAAATATGCCAAATTTTAGACAATGTGAGCACAAAAATGATGGTGTTAAAGGCTGAACTTGGCAGCCCAAAATTTATATGTTGAAGTCCTAGCCCCCTGAACCTCGTAGCTGTATTTGGAGGCAGGGCCTTTAAACAGGTAATTAAGGTAAGATGAGGTCATGTGGGTGAGCGCCACTCCAATACGATTGGTGTTCTTCTGAGATTAAGACACAGACACAGTGCAGGAAGACCGTGTGAAGACACGTGAAGAAGACTGCCCTCTACCAGCCAAGGAGAGAGGCCTCTGAAGGAAACTAGCCCTACCGACACCTTGATTTCACAATTCTAGGAAATAAATTTGTTAAATCACCCCATCTGCAGTACATTGTTATGGAGGCCTAACAAACTAACACAGATGATAACATAACCCACTGAATAATGTAAAAATCCATGAGTATTCCCTAAGTGAATAGCAAAGGGAAGAAAAGGGAAAGTGCTCCATTAAAGTATTATGTAGAAGGAATGGTGTAATGAGAAAAATTATGATTTCATAACTATCATAAAAAGTATTGATCCAAGCAAGAATATTACTTACTATGTGCTGAAAGTGGCAGATGAAAGTTCTAATGTGAGAATTCGAATATTTACTTAAAGTCTCTCCCCATAAATTACAAAGAGTGAAATGACTTTTCAGTGAAGAAACTTAACGAATATTGCCTTAACTACATCATTAATAATAAGACAAACTGATATTATGTGCTTCTTAATATGAAAACACAGACAATACAATGTCTGTGTGGACCGGCCCGAACAGCATCACCTGAAAATAACCATGAGGAAACATCAGACAAACCCAAACTGAGGAATGTTGGTCTGTTCTCCTACAAATGTCCCGGTCATGAAAGACGAAACCGAGGGAACGACTTCAGGTGTTGGGAGCAAAGTAGACAGGTACAGCTAAATGCAGTATGAGGTCCTGGGTTGGACAATTGACCAAAGTTGAATACGAGGGTGGATTAAATATCCACCCTCGTATCAACGTATCAACGTTGAACTTCCTCGTGGTAACTGTACTGAAGTTATGTAAGGGTAAGGCTCATCGCAAATCTAGTCTACCAATCAATAGCCACTGGCCACAGTCCTCTCCTCCTCTCCCCAGCTATTTAGTGATTATTCAGATGATCCCTCCTCCCACTCCCCCGACTTCAGGTCTATTCCTGCTTTCCTGTCTGCCTTTACTGCATCTGGCTCCTCGTCCCCGGTCCTCTCTGCTTCCTAGCTCTCCTGTCCCCGGCTTCTAGCGCTCTGCACCGCCGCCTTTCCTCTCCAGGTGCGCACCGCAGCCCGGCGCTCCGCAGAGTGCGCTTGCGCTCTACAGCCGCGGGAGCTGGGCTGCCGGAGTTGGAGGAACTTCTGTGCCGCGGTGGTCGTCGCGCGAGCGCGGGATCCAGGCTCCGGGAAGGATACCGCGGATACCCCGTGGGGCTGGGCAGGTGGCTGCCCTCGCGCGCCGGGCCGCACTCCTGCTCAGGATGGGCTGCTCCAGCAGCGCCCTCGGCAAGGCCGGCGACAGCAGCAGACTCCGCAGCGGTGAGCGAAAGACCGGCCCCACCCCAGCCCGGGCCACGGGATTCGGTCTGCTCGCTCCCCGGGGGTCCGGGGGTCCGAAAGGGGCGGCTCGTGACCACCCAGCCCGGCAGGGGGCGGGCTCCTCCCTGAGAATGGGAGTGGTACCCTCAGCGCAGGGCTACTCCATCTGGAAATTTGGAACCGCGCTGCTGTGACCCAGGGTGCAGTGGTCCGCGTGCGCCCCGATGCGCGGGGCTCGGGGCCCGGCCCTGGGGTTGCCCTGTTCCCCTGTGTGCCCGCCGGCGTTAAACCCCTAACGCGGCTAGGTGTCACATTCTCTTAAACAGATGAGTAAGTACCTGTCCTTAACAATAGGTGCTATTTAATCTCCCAAAGTACGAAACTGCAGATTATATAAAGGTGCAATTCACAGGGAACCATTAGTTTCGGTCCTAAGGAGAGATGTATACCCGTTTTCTATCAAGACTGCTTTGCCCTCCTGCAAGAGCGTCAGCTTTGGCGATGGCCAAGGTGCGGAAAGCACAGCTAGACCGTCACTCCAAATGGGCCTCGGCACTTTTGAAAAGGTTAGATGGACTTTCTCCAATCCTTGGTTTAAACATTTGACAAATACGCATGGGACAAAAAGTGGTCATTGTTGAATCTTATAAAGAAATTCAACAAGTATGTTTTGAGTATAGAGTATAACAGCCAGGTGCTTGGCTAGATGCTGGAGATAAGGGAGACTCCACTTTTGAAGTTTTGAGGTGGAGGAGACAGACAATAAACAAACAAATGATTAAGACAGTTTCTGACAGGGATAAGTGCCGCGAAAAGAATACAAGCAGATTAGTGTAGAGAGACTGGGTTTTACAGCTGACTCACTTCTTAGATTTTCAATGGCTAACATTTTGGACAAAGCTCTGAAGGTTAAGCAAATTCCTTCAAGCTAGTTTACAATCTTCTTCAAGACTAACTTTAGGGGAAATGTTATATATACTCTGATTAATTCCTTTTCTCAGGTCTTCTTTTAGCACCTTGTGCTATTTGGGTAACACAGAAATATCTTCCTGTCTGGTTTTTGTAGTGGAGAGGGCAAGGTTTTCATGAAAGCTGTTTCAAAGCTCGGGCACTGAGTCCTGGTCAGTAACATTTCACTGCACTCATTTTCATGGCCTACGATGATTTATTTCTAGCTTCAATAGGTAGCAGAAAATAAAAAAAAATTAAAATAGGCAAAAGCTAACATCATATGTTAAAGTGATCCCAAACACCTTGTGGCCAACAGTGTGACAAGATGGTGACAAAACCCCTTCCTGATGCCCGGTGCTTGCTGACCTTTCCCCCACAGAGACGAAAGCCTCTGCACCCCAAATATGCTCTCAGAAGCCTGGTGCAAGGAACAATTTCTTTGATGTTTCATGTGTTATTTTGTGAAATCAGGTGGACTTTGCATTCTGTTCCACGTTATATCCTTGTTAATTTCAATGTGAAAATTGGGAAAAATAGGAAAGGTTTCAGGAAGATACACCATATTGTTTTGGCTTCTCCTATCCCCTGCCATGTTCCAAGTCTCCCAGGAGTGGCACCCTGGTTTACACAGTGAAGCATTAAATCATCACTACAGAATTTTAAACTGATAAAAACATGTATTGCAGGGAATGTTAACTCTTGGGGAAGGGCAGAAGAAGCCAACAGATGAAATGAGTTTTTGTTTTTTTCTTTAACTCTTTTTTTTAGATTTTATTTATTTATTTTTAGAGAGGGAAGGGAGGGAGAAAGAGAGAGAGAGAGAAACATCAATATGCAGTTGCTGGGGGCTGTGGCCTGCAACCCAGGCATGTGCCCTGACTGGGAATCGAACCTGCGGTGCTTTGGTTCGCAGCCCACGCTCAATCCACTGAGCTACGCCAGCCAGGTTGAAATGGGGTTTTTAATCATCTCACAAAATAGTGAATGACCTTTAAAAAAATTTTTATCACTAAAATTAATAACCATGCAAGTGAGTCACACCCACCCTTTCAGTGACTGTTCATGCTTTCCTTGCTGTTCTAAGTTTACACAGATGGGGATCTGAAGGAAAGGTTAAAAACACCTGACTGCCAGTTTTACTGCACAGAAAATGAATTAATACGTTGCATAAATTGCTCAATGCACATAGTGAATCAATCAACAGGTGCTTTGCTTCGGAGCCTCAATCAGACAATACTCTCATGTAAGTGGACACCATCGCGTGGTCATCCCCACCTCACCTCCATGACATTGGAGGCTGGATAAATAATTCATGCCTGTTTCCGCAGCACAAAACTTCTTCATATAAAATCCCTAGTGTGTATGTGCTTTTAGATAAAAACAGTCCAAGTTTATTAAATGTCCCATATATACATTTATTCACTGTTCCCCTCCCCCACCCCAGTGCCTAGCAAAGGTGTACATAATTTGTACATAATTAGTGGGTGAATTACTTTATTTAATCCTTATAACAATGCTACAACTATGATTATGATTTCCCCATATTACAGATAAGAGAAAATAATTTGCCTAAGGTTCTGGGGCTCTGGAGAGTCAGAGCTGGGCTTTGAATTCAGGTCCTCTGATTCCAGAGCTTGACCTAGTCCTGTTCCAGAGCTTGTGATAACTAGATTTAAATCTGTTTTGGCCTCAAGTCATTCTGGGTCTCCATTAGAAGAGTGGTCATTCACTATGCAAACAGCAAAAGAAATATAAATAAAGTATAATAGAGTATTTATTATAATCACTAAAGATATATGTTATAATAAATATAAAGTTATGATATGTAATACATATATGAATAAACAATATAAATACAATATTATAATAAAATATGTATTATCTCTAAGTAAGAGTCAGTAAATATGAAATTTATATATACCTCCAAGTTTAACTAGGAATACGAATATTTGGAGGATATTCAACCTTAGAGATGTTTTAAGCAGAGTGTGTAGATGTAGAGAGACTTCCAGTGCCTCCCATAGAGATACAGATAATCTTTATAGCTTAAGAGATTTTTTTTTTAATTTACTCTTTAAAATAGATTTTATTTACTTAGCTGAGAGGGAAGGGAGGGAGAAAAAGAAGATGAGAACCATTGACGTGTGAGAGAAACATTGATTAGTTGGCTCCCATTTGCATCTTGACCAGGGACTGAACCTGCAACCCAACCATGTTCCCCCAACCTGGAATCCTTCGCTTTGCCAGAGGGCCCCCAACTGAACCACACGGTCAGGGTTGTTATTTAGTTATCAATAAGTTTAAATCCTCGAGGGTACAGCAATACATAGATTCTGTGTCCAATGGCCTTAGCAAGAAGCTTGCTTTGGAATTTAGCACGAACCATGCCACTGTTTCCATGAGCATGAGTTACCTTCCCCAGGTTACTCTGTTTTTGTCTGGTTTACCACTAGGAGCCACTGTGTTGTTCTTTCCTTTGTACACACAAGCACATTTCTTGCCTAGATGGAATTCAGTTTCATCTCGAGCATACACCTTCAATTTTAAGAAGAGCCGTGCGCTCCCTCTAGTTCCGGAGACCCCGTTTATAGCCAGCAAAAATGGCCTCAGACCACAACCTTCCAGACGTATTTGGTGTTGTAGGAGTCCCGTTCCTGGCAGGCCCCAAAGTTCAGCAGCAAGGGAATTCAACTCCAAGGGATTCTTCTAAGTTCACAATATCAACCTCAGAACTCCAAGGGTTAAAGCTAAAATACATCAAGTAGCCTGTAGACTGGATTTGTGTTGACAGTTCCGCCAACAACCTTCTGTTACTGGCTTAAGAACTGTTGTTTGTTGGTTTAAGAACTGTTTGTTATACATGATGCAGTATTATACTATCAGCAGAGGAGTCATAAATAACGGGTTGAACTAGATTACCTACCTGTAACATCTCTTACAGCTCTTAAATCTAGTAACACTAAGCTATGAAGGTGTTTATTTCTGGGCTCCCATTTAAATCTGACAGCAGGACTGGTGAGGAAGCTGCGAGACTGAACAGGAAACCCCATCCACGTGGAGACATTCATCTGACCTGTCAGGCCCTGAGTACTACTGAGCTTTCCCTCGCCTCCAAAGACCACCGACTAGGTAGACAGGTGGGGAATGGCCTCTGGTTGTAAACAATTAATCGTCCAGTGCCTCAAAGTGGAACAATTCTTGCAGTCACACAGATTTTTACTCAATGCGCTGAAATGTGTGAGGAAAGAGGCTTTTTTTCAGGACAATTAGCCCTGGGCAGGTAGCTCAGCTGGTTGGAGCATCGTCCCGTACACCAAAAGGTTATGGGTTTCACCCCAGGTCAGGGCACATACCTAGGTTCGATTCCCAGTCGGGAAGTGTACAGGAGGCAACCCAACTGATGTTTCTCTCTCACTTCTATGTTCCTCTTTCTCTCTCCCTCTCTCTCTCTGAAATCAATAAGCATATCCTCAGTGAGGATTTTTTTTAAAGGGCAATTAGACAAATTGAGTTTGAAATTTCTTCTTTGTGGGAGGAAGTTATAAATATTAGGGCAATTTCTGTTCTTCTCAATGCCATGAGTAGCTGATGGGTTCTGAACACAGAAGTTTTGTGGACATCACAGACTTTAATGGACCCAAAGGTCTCTAGAGCTTTGGCCCCCGAACCCTCCTCCCAGTGCGGCCAGCCCCTGCTTACATGGATAACCCTTCCCTCAACTCTTTTCTAAAATAAATGCCATCTGTTTGTGGCAGACTTCTTCCTGAGATTTTACAGCTTAAGCACCAAAGTGGACAAAGTAAATAGATGGTAATTATTGACAAATTCATTGCTAGGTTAATGTGTACCTTTCCACTGACAGCCAGTCGCTCGTTGGTTGCAGCCTGCACTCTCACGAGCTGCCTGGAGTCCCTGCTGCCTGGGCCATGGGAAGCTCCGTTCACACGGTTCTGTCCGTCGTTCTTTGTACTGTGGAGATGCCTTCAGTCTGCAGCCGGTATTTTCACACAGTGAATTTCAGTCCTAAGCAGGCAAACTTTTTTTGTGTG